TGTTTAAAATAACTGTTTTCTATGTGAATATATTGTAAAATGTAATTTATTCCTGTGATGCAAAGCTGAATTTTCAGCATCATTACTCCAGTCTTCAGTGTCACATGATCTTCAGAAATCATTCTAATATGCTGATTTACTGCTCAAGAAACATTTTTGATTATTATCAATATTGAAAACAGTTGTGCTGCCGAATATCTTTGTGAAAACTACGATACATTTTTTTTTTTCAGGATTCTTTGATGAATAGAAAGTTCAAAAGAACAGCATTTATTTGAAACAGAAATATTTTGTAACATTATAAATGAGGTTACTGTCACTTTTGATCAAATTAATGCAGCCTTGCTGAATAAAATTATTGATTTCTTTAAAAAAAAAAAAAAAAGAATCTTTTAAAACTTGTTTAATTTTAACTGCTGTATTTTGGTGTTTGCTTGGTTTTTATTTTGTGTTTATGTAACTCTTGTGTTCCAACTTAGTTTTTGCCATGAAGATGCTGACATGGCAATAAAAATAAATCAATTACTACTTTTGACCCCAAACTTTTGAACAGTAGTTTAGTGCATGCAGTTAATAGTGAATCTGAATACGAGTGTTTTTGAATGCACTTTGGGTTTGTGCATGATGTTATTGCAGTGTTAGGAGTTGTGTGTTTGTGTATTGCATGTGTAGGGCTTGCCATATGGCGTGTGGGTGTTTTTGCACCTTCCTGTTTTGGTGCGTCTCACTGAATATGCACTGCTAGTATAGATGCCAGTATTTGTTTTTGTTTAGTTTTTTTTACATGCATTCACATTTATCTTGTGTTGTCTGTGTCTCTCTCACTATAGTCCTCAGTGCTGACCGGGTGGAGCAGATGACCAAGACCTACAATGACATTGACGTGGTCACACACCTCCTGACTGAAGTGAGTGATTGGTCAGCAAACAGCGAGTAAATGCTTTGTCTAGTTTGTTTTGGTTAGTAACAGCTCTTGATTGGTTGTCTGTTTGCATTACGGTGTCGTCCCGCAGAGGGATCGCGACCTGGAATTGGCCGCTCGGATCGGTCAGTCTCTCCTACAGAGGAACCACGTGCTGCAGGAGCGAAACGAATCTCTGGAGGAGCAGCTAGCGCAGGCCATAGACCAGGTACAGCATGCTTTGACATGAAAAAATTGAGGCTAAATGTGTATTAGCTGGCTTCAAAGTCTTACATGTAATCGCTCTATCAGGTTCATCAGCTTCAGCATGAGTTGGCGAAGAAGGATGAACTCCTCCGTATGGTGGCGAGCGCCAGCGAGGAGAGCGAGACCGACTCCAGCTGCTCCACGCCGCTACGTCACCCCACGCCCGCAGGGGCCGCTCTCGCCCTCAGCCAGCTGGAGGCCCTGCAGTCCAAACTCCTGGAGCTCGAGGAGGAGAACCTGTCTCTGAGATCAGAGGTGCGTCATGAGCTCTGGCTGATATTTCAGGAGCGTAAGGGTTTTATGAAAGCGTGACCTGATTTTCTGTCTGATTTTCAGGCCTGTCACCTGAAGACGTCGTCCCGCAGAGGGATCGCGACCTGGAATTGGCCGCTCGGATCGGTCAGTCTCTCCTACAGAGGAACCACGTGCTGCAGGAGCGAAACGAATCTCTGGAGGAGCAGCTAGAGCAGGCCATAGACCAGGTACAGCATGCTTTGACATGAAAAAATTGAGGCTAAATGTCTATTAGCTGGCTTCAGAGTCTTACATGTAATCGCTCTATCAGGTTCATCAGCTTCAGCATGAGTTGGCGAAGAAGGATGAACTCCTCCGTATGGTGGCGAGCGCCAGCGAGGAGAGCGAGACCGACTCCAGCTGCTCCACGCCGCTACGTCACCCCACGCCCGCAGGGGCCGCTCTCGCCCTCAGCCAGCTGGAGGCCCTGCAGTCCAAACTCCTGGAGCTCGAGGAGGAGAACCTGTCTCTGAGATCAGAGGTGCGTCATGAGCTCTGGCTGATATTTCAGGAGCGTAAGGGTTTTATGAAAGCATGACCTCTGATTTTCTGTCTGATTTTCAGGCCTGTCACCTGAAGACGGAGACCATTACTTATGAGGAGAAAGAACAGCAGCTGGTGAAAGACTGCGTTAAAGAGCTACGTGAGTATCTGCGTAGACTGTCAAGCTCCTAATTTAAGTCTGGCTGATATTTCAGGAGCGTAAGGGTTTTATGAAAGCGTGACCTGATTTTCTGTCTGATTTTCAGGCCTGTCACCTGAAGACGGAGACCATTACTTATGAGGAGAAAGAACAGCAGCTGGTGAAAGACTGCGTTAAAGAGCTACGTGAGTATCTGCGTAGACTGTCAAGCTCCTAATTTAAGTTAAACCGAGTCTGTGTACTGTCTACATGGGCGTCTGCTTTTGAAAGCAGCATCATAAACCAAATAAAACCTCATTAACTTTGTCCTTCACAAATGGACTGTAAAGGACCCTTTTTGTCTGTTGCAATACATATATGAAAAATACATGTAACTGCTGTTGATTTTGGCCAGTGTGCAATTTTGGAAGCGCCTTTAAGCTCAAAGAACGCCGATGATGCCTAAAAATGTTGGCTGGGCGGCTCTCTTGGGTTTGAAACAGAGCCTCAGTAAAATCACATCAGCTGTGTTTATATGCAGCTAAATAATCAGATCGGACTGGAAAGCCTTCATGTGAACACCACAATCAGTCCGACTGAGCTCAATCCGAATTCAGTTTGGATTGTATTGGAAGGGATGGTGTAAAAATGAAAGAATTTGATTAATAGGTAAAAATAATCATGTAAACATACTCTGCTCCGGTGACATTATGTGACGTCTGGCCGCTGCACATGTGCTGAAGTTTTGTTTGGAATGTATGTTGTGCACATGTAAACAATTATATGAATCTGATTGCTTTAGGGTTCATATAAAGAGAAAGCGGATTGGATTCATTCGGATTGTCGTGCATGTAAATATACGTATTGACTGCTGTGGGTTTATTTATTCGGTGTGTTTGATTAACAGGAGAGTCAAACAGTCAGATGGTGTCACTGGCGGATGAGCTCTCCCAGAAGAACGAGGAGTTAATGAGACATCAGGACGAGATTACACATCTCCTCTCACAGATCGTAGAGCTCCAGCAACGAGTCAAAGAGGTCAGGATGCATGCCATATTTAACACTTTTATTCAGCAAGGACGCATTTAATTGATCAAAAGTGACAGTAAAGACATTTATAATGTTACAAAAGATTCTATTTCAAATAAATGCTGCTCTTTTGATCTTTCTATTCATCAAAGAATCCTGAAGAAATCACGGTTTGCACAAAAAATATAAACCGTTTTCAACGTTGATAAGGAGAAATGCTTCTTGAGCAGCAAATCAGCATATTAGAATGATTTTAAAATATATTCAAACAGAAAACTGTTATTTCAAATAGTATTAATATTTCACAATATTATTGTTTTTATTGTATTTTTGATCAAATAAATACAGCCTTGCTGAGCCTAAGAGACATTCAAAAACATTGAAGAAAAACAAACTTGAATTTGACTGTATGTTGATGTATAATTGTGTATGTCTGTGTTTGTTTCTCAGTTGGCACTAGAGAAAGAAGAGCTGAGAATTCACCTGCAAGCCTCAAAGGAAGCACAACGGCAGCTCACAGCAGAGGTACAATACATACTGCAGCTCAAACAGCTCTGCGTCTGCAAATCTGGATTAATCTGGATCGTTCCGATTAAAACGCTGTGTTTTACTTAAATACAGTGTTTTAAGGATTAATCCGCTTGCTTTAAGATCTTAAAGCATTTTAAAGTTTTAAGGCAAAGCCGCTTAGTCACTGTGACTTAGAAAAGGCTGTAAACTCATGTAACTTCATTCATTCATGTGGTGTGTCCGTCTTATCATTGCACTTCTGCTGAACTTATGAAATGTGTCCATAAAGGCTGGAGTGTTATAACGTGTTACAGGACAGAGTTGGTTAATAAATGCAGTGACCATAGTGACCTGGAAGTGTTATGGTGATCATGTCTGTAATCTCATGTATATCAGGATATTGAACTCACTCTGCTGGCACGATAACACATTGTTTGGGACAATAAATTGTCCCAGACGTAACTGCAATAAACAATATGGTTGTCATTTTAAGACCATTTTATGAAACGCATCTAAACACAATGGGAAAAATAAAAATGATCAAGGTCGTACAATAAGTCGATAACGTGATTATGGTGACAGGCCTGCTCTGCTGTATTATGAGACATCCCAGCGGCCCGTGGAATATAAACTGTGTCTGTGTGTTTTAGCTGAAGGAGCTGTCAGACAGGAACGCCGAGTGTGTGGGAATGTTGCACGAGTCTCAGGAGGAGATTAAGGAGCTGCGCAGTAAGAACACGCCGTCTGCAGGCCTGCGCAGACACCTGTCGTACGGACTCTATCCTATGGTGAGAGACCTCCACACCTCCAGCTCTCTCACACACATTTGTTTGTTAAAATTACATTTTTTCCAGTCACATCTGTTCTTAATACAAGCCAGTTCAGTAACCTGCATATGTTAGATATGTTAGATATTCTTAATGCATTAATCTATTATATATTTTCATAAATAATTATAACCGTTATACTTTTATAATAGTGCATGAAATTTGGTGGCGATCGTGTGTTTTAATGGGTGGGTATTGTAATTTGGGCTATAATTAGGCACGTTTAAATAAATATGAGAAAAAGTATGGATGTATATATGATTGTATTATTACTGCATTAATTATTATTATGTAACATAATAGTGGTTACAATTATTTGCAAAAACATTGTATATATAGTATAGACATATATATATTATAGTATATAGACATGGAGAACCTCCCACAACTTCCCAGCATTATGTTTTGCATTGGCAAGCACAACTGTCAAGTTTTATTAAAATTTGTTGTTGTTGTTTGGTTTATTTCATTTTGTTTCATTTTACTTGTTTATTTTATTTCATTGTAATTTCTTGTTTATTTGTTTTATTTTGTTGTATTTCATTTTGTTTTTATTTAATTGTTTATTTCACTTATTCATTCTGCTTCATTGTTTTTATTTCATTTTTCTTTTATTTATTTTAATTGTTCATTTTACTTTTTTTGTTATTTTGTGTGTGTGTGTGTGTGTGTGTGTGTGTTATTTCATTTATTTATTTATTTATTTTTTTTCATTTTTCAGTGTTTTTGTTTATTTAATTTTTTTAATTTTTTTTACAATTTATTTAATTTGTGTTTTTTTTTTGTTTTTTTTAATTCATTTCATTTGGTTTTGTTTTTTGTTTTTTATTTGTTTTTAAATAACACTTATTTTTGCATGAACCCGTCTCTGTCTCTTTGCTTTGAGTTAACAGTTCTATAGTCATTGCTCATTTTTTGTGTGCTTCAGGATTCTTTGGCAGCTGAGATTGACATTTCATTTGGTTTTGTTTTTTGTTTTTTATTTGTTTTTAAATAACACTTATTTTTGCATGAACCCGTCTCTGTCTCTTTGCTTTGAGTTAACAGTTCTATAGTCATTGCTCATTTTTTGTGTGCTTCAGGATTCTTTGGCAGCTGAGATTGAAGGTAGTATGAGAAGAGAGCTGAGTGTAGAAGAGGAAATCACCTTTCAGGACCAGAGGTAATGCTCACCATTCTCCCTCACACACAGAGTTATGTTTATAATAGTCATTTTATCCTTCAGCAGGACTGACCTTTGACCACTGTCTGCTCTGTCTGAAGGTCGACCCATAAGCGTGTGTTCCAGACGGTGCGGTCTGTCAATCAGTCGGTGATGAGAGCGGCTGTCGCAGTGCCTCCGATCCCTGGCTCCGCCCGCAGCGGCGTGGTCATGACCCCAGTGCCCTATCAATCACACACACCCAACACAGAGGAACAAGCTGGAGATGTGGACACCACCAAGTGAGTGGGACTGCACAATGTGTTTATACCCACAATGCTTTTGTGTGTTTCTAACACGTGTGTGTGTGTGTGTGTGTGTGTGTGTGTGTGCGCGTGCGTGCTGCAGAGAGAACTCTCGTCTGGGTCAGCCCGGCTCTCCCGGAGGAAATTACCTTACGTCAGCCCTAAACTGCCTCTCCCTGCGGAGGCAGAACTTCCTGTGCGAGCGACAGTTCTTCCAGGTTGAGAGAGAGCGGAAGCTGCAGGAGCTGGCGGCTGCGGAGTCGGAAGGGGGCGGGAGCAGCTGCAGTTCACCAATGGGAAGCACCGTCTCGTCTTTCACCAACCTATCAGAGTTCTCCATCTCCTCCAGCTGTTTCAAGACATTTCTGCCTGAAAAACTGCAAATTGTTAAACCAATGGAAGGTGAGTAGAGGATAGTGTGCAGAAAAAAGAGCCAAGTTTTGTTTAGTTTTTTTGTTTTTTGGCATGTACTTTTTGGTTTATGTTCACAAGGGATTAAACAAAGTGTTAACTAATCCCTGTATGCACTGTGAGCATTTCCTGTAGCACTTTATGGCTTAATTCATAAATTAGTTTCAGCAAGTTAAATGTTATTTTTAGATAATTTATTAATCTAGATTATTGTATAAATATATTATTGTTAATGTGTGTTCATAAAATATATTAATGTTGAATTAATTCATGCATTTAATTAGTTTAAAACTGTTCAAATGTATTAGAATACACTACACCATTCAAAAGTTTAAGGTCAGTAAGATTTTGAATGTTTTTGAAAAGTCTCCGTGTCCTAACCAGACGTGACGCGACAAGATTCCAGCGTCAAGCAATTAGGCTGTCCACACCAGACGCGACACGACATCGAGATGCGACAGAATCACTCAAATATCACAGCCATTCAGAAGCGTACAGCACTCCCAACAAAATGGACACGTTTAGCATCTAATCATCTAATATTAAACCTTTTTACCATAGTTTGTATGTTGTTGTTCTAGCCACGAGGTCGCAGAAATAGAAACTTTGCGTTTGATCAAAAATACAGCAAAATAAGTAATATTATAAAATATTATTGCAATTTAAAATGTGCAATTTTCTATATGAATATATTGTAAAATGCAATTTATTTCTGTGATCAAAGCTGAATTTTCAGCATCATTACTCCAGTCTTCAGTGTCACATGATCCTTCAGAAATCACTCTAATATGCTGATTTGCTGCTCACGAAACTGTATTATTATTATTATTATTAAAAAATGTCTTATCCATGGTAACAAACTTTTGAACAGTAGTGTATATGTAGAAATTTAACATTTAACGTTAATTAATAAATTCAGTAGCAATATTGATCATTGTTCATGATGCCTAATGTTACAAAATTGCATATTATTGTAAAGTGTTGCCCTGTTTTTTGAGTATTTGTTCCTGTTGGCTTGATCTTCAGGTTCTCTGACTCTTCATCACTGGCAGCAGCTCGCTAAACCTCACCTGGCCACCATTCTAGACCCCCATCCGGGCGTAGTTACCAAAGGCTTCCGCCCTCTCCCTCAGGACAATGTTTACCACCTGAATGACCTCGAAGAGGACGAAGACCAGGAGAAACTACCATGGGAACATAAGAGAAAAGAGGAGGAGCCACAGGATGCAAAGATAAAAGAGGAGGAGGAGGAGGAGGAAGGAATCACGTTTAATGTGCGCTCATCGTCAACTCCGGAAGAGAAGAGAGAGAGGAGGTGTATCCAAAGTCCAGCTAATGTCCCGCTCCTTCCTGCATCCCTCAGGAATTCCCCTGTGCCCATAGCAACGGCCGTTTCCTTAGCAACAGCAGTTAACCTGACAGCCAGCGCTGCTCCTGCAGTTAGTTCTGGAATCTCAGGATCAGCGGCTCCACAGTTTGAGCTGAATCTCGGATCTAAAGCGCCATCTACAGGTAAATAACTGTCACTGAAGACACCCGTTTGTTTTCCAGTTCCTGTATAATAATGCATGTTTGTTGATCACTTTTTGTTTGTTTAGCTATAAATCCTGGGAAATATCAGAGCTCCACTTTTTCCACATACACCTTCACTACCTGCCGGATCCTGCATCCTAGTGACAGCACACAGGTGACACCCAGGTACAACATCTATCACCACTAATAAACAGCAGGTTAAAGGCTTGTTCACACGGGGACGAATATGGCGCGCGATTATCGCCGACGTTTAACGCCTCGTGACTAAACAAAGGGCGGCACACATTGATACCTAACGAAGTAGACCAAGAAGATGCATCGAGGCAAGATGAATGTAGAGCTGCTGGTCTCATTGGTGTCTGAACACAAAGGGCTTTATGACAAACGCTACAGCGACTACAAAAATCTCGATAAGAGGGAGTTGTTATGGAGAGGAATTGCAGATCAAATAGGATTCAATGTGTACCGGGGTATTTCTGTTTTTCATTAAGCGCCATCTAATGTCAGGGAGTGAATTTGCACATTCACTCGGCTCATCGCCTGCGAAAATCGCTTGGGTATGAACACAAACGGCGGCGATAAGCGCACGCGATAATCGTCCCGGTGTGTACAAGTCTTAAGGGTGTGAATCATTTTAGAACTGTCTTTATTTTTGCTGTTGTGTTCGGTGCCTTACTGAACTGCACATTTTTACTTTAGTAAGTCAGGAACCATCAGATTTTAGTATGCAAGTGAGTTGGAGACTGATTTGTTCATTATAAAGAACTTTTATGTAAAAACTAATAAAAAACACAAAAAAGAACCGATTCAAAAGTCATCCGCTGATGAATCAGAGTGGTTGCACTGTATGTTTGTTAATGTGTGCGACCAGCAAGATTAACAAAATAGAAGTGTTGTCTATTTATTTTCAGTGTATCTTTTTTTTAAATTAGCATTTATTTATTATTTTTATTATGACACTTAATCTTTCTCAACTCTGTTAATATATATAATGTTAATATATAATAAGAATATTTTATATAATAATATTAATAATATTATTCAGATGTTTTTATCATCTTTTATTATTCTGGCACTTAATCTTTCTCAACTCTGTTAAAAACCTTATTTCAGTGTGTTTTATATATGGAGGAATTCAGATATCAGTTATTGATTGGAAAAAATAAAAATGAATTTGCTTTCAATTTACTTTATTTAAATATTTTTTTATTTTGATTTTAGATATTATATATAATAACGGTAATATATATTTGATTCATTTACTTAAATTGGTTCTCCATTATATATATATTATGTATGTATGCGTGTAATTTATTTATTTATTTTTTATTTTTGTATTTTTTTGGGTGATATATTCTTATGCGTGGATGTGTTTGATCATATTACTCTTTTCTTTCTGTTTATCAGCTCTGCCTGTAGTCCTTCTGTGAGTGATTACACCCCAAGTTCTCTCCGGACCGGTCCCAGCACTCCAGTCACACCGTGTAGGTTGAGTCTGGGCGATTCTTTCCCCATTCGCCGCCCTGCAGCGCCCCCTAGTGGTCTCGCCAAGCTCCTGCTGGAGAAAGGCATCTCTGCTCAGGGTCCCGCCGCTATGGCGGCACCCAAAAGAGGAAACATAGATTTCTAATCCCATTTTTCCCAGTCTAAATTAATTTTTTCCTTTATTGTTCATTTATGTCCCTTTATCCTTTATTTAGTTTCCTTAACAAGTCATGGCACTTATTTTCTGTCAATTACACACGTGAGGCTGTGGAGCTGTGAAGTGGTGGATAGATCAGACAGGAAAATGTATGTGCAGAAGGATGTTGAATGTTGAATCGATGGAAGGAAGTTAAAGGAATGCTATAAAGGACTGGAAATATGTGAATTTACTGTCAATTTGATTCATCCTAGTGAATCATATGAACAAGATTGAGGTGATGAACACGAACGAGAATGGAATATGGCAAGTCAAATGGATGGTCGCATCTCCACAGCTTCATTTTAGGGGTTTGTTTTTTTTTTTCCCTTAAAAGATGGATAAACGGGTGTCTAGAAGAGAAAAATACATTTATTTTGCATTAAAAAAATGTAAACATCTCTTCAGAATTAGAGCAATTTCATTACCGTTCTTATTACTGTGAATAAACTATTTTATTTTTTTAGATTTAAAAAAAAACTGTCTTGCTGTACTGCCAATATTAAAATTATAATTGCATGATGAGAATTACAAACAAATATTGAGCTATAAGCTATGAAAGTGAAAATGTGCTGAATTTTAATAAAAATAAAAATGAGGCCAGAACAATTATTTTTAAGTATAATTCAATTACATATTTAAATTTATATTAATAATTATTTTAATACTTTATATTAGTAATGATTTGCCATAACCATACAATCCAAAAAAGGGTGGGAAAAACATGTTCAATGGAAAGAATATATATATATTTTACATAAACAAAATAAATCATGTTTCAAACTATTTAAGAGATTTAAGGTATGCATTTGTATGGCAATTAAGCATAATTACATCTCACTTCTCATTACTATAAACAGGGGCAAATCACAAGCATCTAATGGGGAGAGAGAGAGAGAGAGAGAGAGATAAGAGAAAGAGACAGAGAGAGAGAGAGAGTTGAGAAAGTGAGCTTGAAATAGAATGAAAAGAACAATACATGAGGAATAAACTCACATTGCAAGAACTCATCTTTGGTTCTGGGCTCTGGGGCCTGAATACTGTCAATGTTAATTTCTCTCACTGTAAAAAAAAAAGAAAGAAAATGTCAGACAAAAGAAACAGGCTGTAAGAAAATATGAAAACTTGCATATTTGAAAAAAAATTATGCTGTTTTGAAAAATAAAATGGACACATTTTAATAGGACATTAAAGTGACACTATTCTATTTCTGATTCATATGGTGGTGTAAAGTTCATTAGATAATCTTTCTATCCATCCACCATCCATCCATCATCCCAACCATGTATCCATCCATTTATCTATCCACACATCCATCCATCCATCCAAACATTTATCCATCCACCCATCCATCTACCCATCCATCTATCCATCCACCCATCCATCTATCCATCCACCCACCAATCTATCATCCACCAATCCATCTACCCATCCGTCTATCCATCTACCATCCATCTATCCATCCACCCATCCACACATCCATCCACCCATCCATCTACCATCCTTCTACCCATCCACCCACCCATCTACCCATCCACCCATCCATCTATCCATCCACCCATCCATCTATCCATCCACCCATCCATCTATCCATCTACCCATCCACCTATCCATCTACCCATCCACCCATCCATCCACCTATCCATCTACCCATCCATCCACCCATCCATCCACCCATCCATCCACCCATCCACCCATCCACATATGATGTGTCCATCCATCCACCATCCAACTTCCCATCCATACATCTATCCATTCATCCATCCATCCATCTTTCTTTCATAATATGGTGTGTGTAATGTAAAATATATTGTTGTAAATGCTGACATGTGGGAAAAGCAGGATTGGCAAAGGGACTGTCGGTAGGAGAGTCCAGGAACAGCCCGGGATTCACTGTACGGAGAGAAAGACAGAAACAGAGTAAGACACTTAGGAGTCGTTCCCCTACATGTAATCCATTTAACTACAATTTAACTAGCTGTAAAACTACAAACAAACAAACAAAAACCTCAATATTACCTTCTGTTGGCTCTCCCCCTACAGAGAGATGAGAGATACAGTCAACAATAGTTTAGATAATTAATAATATAACAATTACAATGATTTTCAGTTTTGAAAAAGGCAAGTGTGTTGGTTGGTAGTATTTTTTAAATGTTTTTGAAAGTCTCTTACCAAAGCTGCTTTTATTTGATAAAATACAGTGAAAACAGTAATATTGTGAATTATTATTATAATTTAAACTCTTTTCTGTTTGAACATATTTTAACCTGGTGATGTAAAGCTGAATTTTCAGCATTACTCCAGTCTTCAGTGTCACATGATCCTTCAGAAAAATCTTTTGTAACATTATAAATGTGTTTACTGTCACTTGATCAATTCAATGCAACTTGCTGAATAAAAGTATGCATTTGTTTCATAAAATAATTATGAATGTTTTATTATTTAAACAACATAATTTAGTTTTTCATGACCATTTTTCATCCTCTCACTGTTATTTGTATTTGAATACATTCATGAATTATGTAGATGGTAAATTATATGAATTTCTAAACTATTTATTTTATTTAAAATGTAATGTATCATTTCATTTCAAATCATTCTTGAATCGCTAGTGTACACTGAGTGACTTACAGGTACTGGCAGAGGAGGGGCTACGAGGTGTCACTGACTCCGCCTCCTGTATAGTGGGTGTGGCCTCTTTCACTGTGAGTAGTTGAAATGCGACACATGACATCATGTTTCATGCAACAATTTGATGACGTTATGATGATGACAAAACATTTTTAATTGAAAAGGTTTCTAAATCCAGTGGACACATTTAGCTCTGTTATATTACATATTGTAAAAAGGGGCATAATATGTCTCCTTTAAAGTAGGTGTTAAATTTCCAAAAACTAGACATGAATCAAACGTCACCTTGTTCTCTGTCCTCTCTTCTCAGTCTTGGTCTGATTGAACTCAAACTCCAGTGGTCTGCTGACAATTCAAAGGAAAACCGCTTTAAAAACTGTGAGGTTGGTTTACGCAATGTATATAAACTTGAGTCTGACACCACACTGAAAATCTTTTATTTAAACCTCACCTTGTTCTTCATCACGTGTGCTTCTGCTCTGTGTGCTTTGACGTCTCTGAGAGGTCTGATTTTCTCTGTCCATGACTACTATGATATTAATAAAACACACAAAACTGAACAACAACAAAATAACTGACACTAGGGTGAATGTCAGGATATGTCTGAGTCATATTTCACTCCAGAATCAAATAGAGGGGGAAAAAAAGAAAACACATTTGCTCAAAATGTAAGAAAATGTAGATTTTTGGCATTGACATTTTTTCATGACATATTCTCCTCTAATTCTCATTAGTATTTGTATTTATAAAGTATTTAAGGTTTTTAATTATTTAAATCATATTTAAATTTTAATCTGCACAGTTGCATCTATACTATTTACATGTATAAAGTATTCAAATAGTAAATTATTTAAAGTTTATAAAGTATTTAAACTGTAAACAATTTTACATGTATAAAGCATTTAAATTATAGTTTTCACAAATGAAGATCATGGTAGTGATGTTGTGTTGTACTGATAAAAACTGTATTGAAGTAACATTAAAATAATAAGACTAACCATTAAATCACTCAAAAGTAATAAAAATAGCTGGACACACTATGATAATAAGACTGAAAAAAATGTGTTTGATTGTCATAGTATATAATGCAAAATAATCTTTATGGTTATAAAAATAGGTTCAATTTACTTTCTGCAAAATATCTTTTTTTTTCTTCTGTCTTTTGATTATAGGATATGACCTGGACATCTTTCATCCACTAAAACTCACCCTGATCTCTGGTCTTCTCCTCTCGGTCTTCCTCTTGATCTCACTGTTGAGAAATCACAAATAATGAGCAAAACTACACTGGACTGATGTTTGTCTTTATATCTTTATGAATATGTCTCATTCTCACCATCATTGTTTTCTCTTTCCTCTCTTCTTTACGTTTCTCTTGGTCTCAATGAACTGCGACTCTTTTCGTCTGTAGAGTGTGAAACTATAAATGACAAACTACAGATGATTATATATACACGAGTAAAAGTGTGAGACGCGCGTCTTACTGTCATCTCTTTCCTCTCTCGGCGATCTGGCTGGTCTTTGGGAGTTTGTAACACCTCTGTTAACTGATATAAACAAATGTTTATATAAAAAAATATTCTAAATCCTACATACAGTTGCACAATCTCATTCTAAAAACACATTGTTTTTAGCAGATACGAGCTGTAAAGGCGCAGCTCCATTCTGGAAAAGGGGGCGGGGAGCAGCAGCTCATTTGCATTTAAAGACACAGGCCCGAAAAACAGCGTGTTTCTGCTTCCACTCAAAATAGGCATTTTCAAAATTATATAATAAATGATCTGTGGAGTATTTTGAGCTGAAACTTCAGACACATTCTGGGGACACCAAAGACTTATATTACATATTGTAAAAAGGGGCATAATATGTCTCCTTTAAAGTAGGTGTTAAATTTCCAAAAACTAGACATGAATCAAACGTCACCTTGTTCTCTGTCCTCTCTTCTCAGTCTTGGTCTGATTGAACTCAAACTCCAGTGGTCTGCTGACAATTCAAAGGAAAACCGCTTTAAAAACTGTGAGGTTGGTTTACGCAATGTATATAAACTTGAGTCTGACACCACACTGAAAATCTTTTATTTAAACCTCACCTTGTTCTTCATCACGTGTGCTTCTGCTCTGTGTGCTTTGACGTCTCTGAGAGGTCTGATTTTCTCTGTCCATGACTACTATGATATTAATAAAACACACAAAACTGAACAACAACAAAATAACTGACACTAGGGTGAATGTCAGGATATGTCTGAGTCATATTTCACTCCAGAATCAAATAGAGGGGGAAAAAAAGAAAACACATTTGCTCAAAATGTAAGAAAATGTAGATTTTTGGCATTGACATTTTTTCATGACATATTCTCCTCTAATTCTCATTAGTATTTGTATTTATAAAGTATTTAAGGTTTTTAATTATTTAAATCATATTTAAATTTTAATCTGCACAGTTGCATCTATACTATTTACATGTATAAAGTATTCAAATAGTAAATTATTTAAAGTTTATAAAGTATTTAAACTGTAAACAATTTTACATGTATAAAGCATTTAAATTATAGTTTTCACAAATGAAGATCATGGTAGTGATGTTGTGTTGTACTGATAAAAACTGTATTGAAGTAACATTAAAATAATAAGACTAACCATTAAATCACTCAAAAGTAATAAAAATAGCTGGACACACTATGATAATAAGACTGAAAAAAATGTGTTTGATTGTCATAGTATATAATGCAAAATAATCTTTATGGTTATAAAAATAGGTTCAATTTACTTTCTGCAAAATATCTTTTTTTTTCTTCTGTCTTTTGATTATAGGATATGACCTGGACATCTTTCATCCACTAAAACTCACCCTGATCTCTGGTCTTCTCCTCTCGGTCTTCCTCTTGTTCTCACTGTTGAGAAATCACAAATAATGAGCAAAACTACACTGGACTGATGTTTGTCTTTATATCTTTATGAATATGTCTCATTCTCACCATCATTGTTTTCTCTTTCCTCTCTTCTTTGCGTTTCTCTTGGTCTCAATGAACTGCGACTCTTTTCGTCTGTAGAGTGAGAAACTATAAATGACCAACTACAGATGATTATATATACACGAGTAAAAGTGTGAGACGCGCGTCTTACTGTCATCTCTTTCCTCTCTCGGCGATCTGGCTGGTCTTTGGGAGTTTGTAACACCTCTGTTAACTGATATAAACAAATGTTTAAATAAAAACTATTTAAACTCCGACATATAGTCACAAAATCACTCTAAAAACACATTTAAAGTGTTAAATCATATCACAGCAGTCTCACCTCTTGGCTCATTGTTTCTGACAGCCTGTGCACGTGTGTTCACTGAAGAAAGAAAAAACTTACTGCACAACTGATATTTGAAAATAAAATATAAAATTAAATCCAAAAATGAAATGAAATGAAATGAAATTGAAATTAAATTAAATTAACCAGATCCTCGTGTGCTTACTGAAGGCAATGGTGGGGGTCCTAAAAATATTCACATACATTAGAAACTCTAAGACAAAAAGTGGAAAGAAAAAAACCCAAAAACAATTCACTAGATTTATTTGTTTTCATACCTTGTGCACGAGTGGCTCGGGCTCCTTTTCCAGAAAACACTGTAATGCAAAAACAGAGTAGAGAACTGAGAAGACCAGGATTACAGACAAATGATAGATGAAACCATGATAAAACCTACAGAAGAAAATAGGACTCAACCAACCACTGTTTTGATAATATTATTTAAAATAACATACATTTTGTGTTTTTAAACATAAACAGAACAATAAAAATACATTTTATAACATAATTATTTTATTTTATATTTTTTACTATTTTATTATATTTATATGTTTTATAATTTCATTTTATTTTAGAATTGTATTTAAAGATTTTATAATAATTTTTCTATTATAATTATTTTATTTTGATTTATATATTCATAGTTGTTATTTTTAACAATGTGACTGGTATCAATTTGTGCATCTCTGTTTTTGTTATTTATATTGCTGCTTTGGCAATATTGTGTATAAAACATTCATTTCACTTTAAATGTAACAAAATTAACAGATAAGACTAATTATTTTTTGTTGAAATTTTACCAAATGCATTATAGTGAAATTGACTTACATTTCATTATGCCTCCTGTTTTCTGGCCGTTGCGGTCTGCCACTGTGAATGCTGTGGTGTTGTACACTGAGGAGAGACACAGATAATGACCCTCCAGTGACCCTGTACATGACAGCAGTTCAGTGTGTGTGTGTGTGTGTGTGTGTGTGCGTGTGTGTGTGTGTGCGGTTCCTGGTCACACATCTCCTCCACTTTCTCCCTGAGCTGGACGATGACGCTCCTGACGGGATCAAACGTGGCTTCGGGGTTTGCGGTCACAGTTCCCAGATCTCCCCCCTCCAGAGGACAGCACAGAGACTGATGCGTCTGTGGAGATGAGGTATGAAGAGATTATACATGTGCTCTCTGAGACATTCTTCTCTTTTGAATAGTGGAAGCAGTTTTGTAAACCCCACCTCAAATCTGATGAAACCATCATCTGACCTTCAGGAAGTAGATACTGTCCTGGCAGTTGATGAGGTCTTTCAGTTCTCCATCTTTTTTCTTCAGCTGTTTGACTTCGGCCTCCAGTTTGGTCACCACGTCCTGGGTCTCGTTGAGTTTCTCCTGCGCAGTGGAGACCATCACGTCCTGGAGCAGCTCTAGCATCCGCTGCACTGACTCCTGGAGCTCCGACAGGACCACATCCGCCTCGTCCCGCATCGTTTCTGAGGACCTCTACACACACACAAATATTCAGACTTTAAAGGATAGCTCACCCTCCAAAAAAAGTCATTATTTATTCACCCTCGTGTTGTTCCAAACCCATAAGACTTTGGTTAATCTTTGAAACACAATTTAAGATATTTTAATTAAACCTGAGAGGTTTCTGTTCCTCTATTGAAAGTCCAGATAATCAAAACTCAGCAGCAGATCCAAAAAAGTCATACAAGCATTGTAAAAGGAATCCATATGAATTGAGTGGTTTAATCCAAGTCTTGTAAAGAGATATGATGCTTTATGTGATAAACAGATTTATTTCAGGCTTCTATTTGCATATGAACAACAAAGCTTGTGTATTCATCATTGGTTCTCATGCATCACATATGCACATATCTCTGTCGCTGGGGTATATTTGTAGCAATAGCCAAAAATACATTGTATGGGTCAAAATGATTGATTTTTCTTTTATGCCAAAAATCATTTGGACATAAAGTTTTGCAAAAGTAAAATATTTTGTAAATTTCCTACTGTAAATATATCAAAACTTAATTTTTGATTAGTAATATGCATCGCTAAGAACTTCATTTGGACAACTTTAAAGGCGATTTTCTCAATATTTAGATTTTTTTGCACCCTCAGATTCCAGATTTTCAAATAGTTGTATATCGACCAAATATTGTCCTATCCTAACAAACCATACATCAATGGAACGCTTATTTATTCAGCTTTCAGATGATGTATAAATCTCAATTTCGAAAAATTGACCCTTATGACTGGTTTTGTGGTCCAGGGTCACATTTAAGCTTCCATGTTCACCATATGTGAAGTGCGCTATGTGTGTCAATCATTATTCAGATGCAAATACAAGATTAAATTAAATATGTTCATCATGTAAAGCCATTGTATCTCTTCAGAAGACTTGGATTAAACCACTCGATTAACAATGCATTCATTTTACGACACCTTTATGACCTTTCTGGATCTTTTCAGTTTTAGTTACCTGGACAGAACAGAACAGAAACTTCTCAGGCTTCTTTAGAAATATCTTAATTTGTGTTTTGAAGATGGTTTTGGAACAACATGAGTGTGAGTAAATGACAGAATTTTCATTTTTGCGTGAACTGTGCTTTTAAAGACCATGATTGTGTACGATGTAACTCATAATTTGTTTTTTGGGTGCAATAAATATTTACCGTGAGTGTGTCTAAGACTTTTTTCATGTCTTTCAGTTCTCTTTCTCTGGCCTGGAGTCTCTGATGGTTCTCAGACAGAACTGCGCCCAGCTCTTTCTAATTCAATAACAGAGTAGCACACAAAGCAAGTGTTCAGAATAGACTGGAATGAGTGTGAGTGGAACAAGATTAGTTCATTAATACTAAACCACACTGACACATTAATACAACACTTCATGCAAAAGCTAAAGGTGAGTCAGGCTGTTCAAACAGTAGCAGTGAAAGCATTTTTCTGAATGTCACTGCCTTGCATATAAATGATGATTTCCCAGCCTCACTTGACATCATGACAGATGTCAAAAATATGGACTGAAAAACTAGGGCAGTTGAAGGTCATCAAATTCATTTACCATAATCACAATAAAGAGTACTACAGAATTATGGTTTTATTTATTGCCAGGGTGTTGCTATGCGGTTGCTAAGGTAAAAAGGTGATGTGGGTGATTTCTTGGTTGGTCAAAGTCAGCAAAAAGTCCTTCCTCAAGTCTGAGAAAAACCTATGCGATTGTTTTCAACTGTTAACCAGGTCCAGTCATGTAGAAAAGTAGCCAGGATTTTTCCCGCGGTTAGGATATTTCGCGCGTCAAAGGTTTACGGAGCCCCTAAAGGGACATGATTAGAGTAAAAATGAAATGGAAGGGAAATTATATTTTAATGCTTTTGCGTTCTCCCGAGAAACTTTGCGTTCCGACTAGGAACTCAATTTAGCAAACAATATGGAGTGAGTGGGAGGGAAAGGATATTTTGGAGCGAACGCAACTCCATGGAACGCACTTTCGCGAGAGAACATAAAATCAGTTTTACTCCCATCTGATTTTGTTTTCCATCACCATGGCCCTTGGGTGCTGCTCCGTAACATATTGCATACACTATATTTGACTGAAATGCTTGCATTAAAATATTTTACGCTTATCCAATTCTACCAACGACAAAGCTGTGCTAGATGACTGATGGTGAGCCAGTGCGTAGAAATGTATGACAAAGACCAAGAGTAACATCAGAATAATATCTTAAAACTGTAAACAGTTCATTTTCAAATAGTTAAGGATTACCAACCGAAGGATTTCGTTAACCAGCTGTCGATTTTATATGTTGATGATTTTTTTTTTAATGAAAATAAACTGTTTATGTTCACTGTTGTGATTTTTAAGTTGAAATTGCGTCTAATGCACACCCTGTGACATATAGTAACAATGTTCAAATGCTATTAATAAATTGCAATAAAGTCTCTCTCACACAAATTCATGTTATTGTTTCAAATGTAGCCTATGCACGCAGTCAGCTTGTCCTAGTTCTTCATCTGTTTCTCCTTCATCCTGTTTTCACTCTTTAGTATTCTGTTCAGTCTTAAACAATCAATCAGTCGTTTCATAAAAAGGCAGTAGTTGAGTCACTGTACAGTATGTGAGGGTGCTGACAGCAGAGGGCGGTATTGAGCTGGGAATGTGGAAGGAAGTGTAACTGTAAGTGTTGAGTGACTTGTAACATGCTTGAAATCTCTCACATCAATCATCATCACCCACCGGACCTGAGTGGAGACAGCATTACTGACTCATATGACGCTTGTCAGAGCTTGAGAGAAAACAGCAACATAAATACTTGAAAAGGGACTCCAGTTTATCCAGGATCTGATTCCAGTTAGGAGCGGTTCTGAATTATGTTAGAAATTCCACTCGGAATCTACAGTAGAACGCATGTTTTTGAAAGGCTTGATTTGAGAAAGAACAAAAACATCTTTTTCAAGTTTGTTTTTTCTCAAAAAAAAATTTTTTTTCTCAAATTTTTTTTTTAAAAACACTAGTTTTCTATTTTTTCTATTCTATCTACTTGTTTTTCTTTGTGTGTGTGTATATGTGTGTGTATAATATATATATATATATATATATATATACACCTTGCTACACTGCGTTAGGCTAACCGAGACTTGTCATTTGCACTTATATATTGTTGCTCTTTTGTTAGTTTTGACTGCTTTTATTGTCCTCATTTGTAAGTCGCTTTGGATAAAAGCGTCTGCTAAATGTCTAAATGTAAATGTAAATGTAAGTCACGCCTGTGAGGTGTTTTAAACAACATGGCGAAGTAAAAGTCTGCCTATCAGACATTTATTAACGACTTTAATGAAATATATGTAACATATTAATCATATTTTGGCTTCATGTCATGACAGGTGTATGAACTCACACTAAATGCTCAAGATTATGTATTTTATGAGTAGAGTACAATTTCTACAGAAGAAAACAATATCAAATGTCACAGTAAAAACCTGTAAAAAAAAGTTACTGTACTATACTGAACATTTTTTTTTTTAGATTTAACAAGATTTTCCAGCAAAATACTGTTAATTTTTCCTAATATAATATTATTAATAGTATATTTTATTTTACAGTAAAATAACATTATGATGTTTATAATATTAAATAATAGATTTTATACAGAAAAGGTATTATTTACCTTTCAAAGGGTGATTGCTTTGATTATACTTTATTTAAAAATAAAATATAGATAAAAATAAATAAAAAGGTTTTGTTTCCTAATTTTTTACAGTACATTTCTGTAAGACAAAAACATTTTTTTTCTGTAAATGTAACAAAGACTTTTCACAGTGATTTTACAAAACAGGATTTTACAGAATCTTATTTATGTAATGTTCTATGCACCTCACCTGACTAATTTACTGTGTTTAATATGCTAATTTATTGGTTATGAATCATAGGGTAAATTCAGGTAAACGTGGCAGCTTTTTACCATTCAGCACAATGATAAAAAAGTGTCTCTGATTACTTAAATTCACCATGCTTCTCTTGAATTGTGCTTCTGAAGATTTGAGGCTCAAACACACAGTCTCTTTGTGTTTATGTGTGTGATGATAAATGATCATGAAGCGCTTCTGATCGGCCCAGTAATAAGTCTAAATTGAATTCCAAAGCTATTAATAAGAGCTCTGAAATGTATCCCATCCATTTACTCTTTTAACAAACTACACATTACAGAACAAAATGAAAACAAATGAATCAGTAAACAATCAGGCATGTTAATGAGCCCGTATATCTCTGTTCAGTAGAAGAGGCAATAGTCTCTGCGCAAAGATCTTTCATTCCAGTGTTTGTGAGCGTGAGACGCTGATGAAATCATGCTGGACGCGTCCTTCAGGGACTTTCATAACCTCTAAAAGATGTCTTTACTCACACCAGCATCATGGGTGTGTGTGTGTACTACATCTGTAGAAATCAAGTCTGGCAGTACAACCGTCATTTCTTAGAATCCACATGATGTTCTTGAGAAGTTTCTTCTTCGAGTGAGTGTGGTGTTTGGGTCGTGCATGTCAAGCTGACGGCTGTGGCTCCAAAACTCCTCATCTGTGTTCAATCATCCACACATCTGTGACCATCGCAGCTGATTTCTACATAACATGCTCCAAAAATCCAGCATCACCCCTCAGATATCAAGAACACGGCCAGTATTTCGTCTCGCTTTCATGTCAGAGACTCTGAAATGTACAAGCCGATTGAACCATTTTAAGCGAGTTCCTCATCATCTCCAGATCTCTGCCAATCCACCTCGACATCTGCAGAAGGTCACAGTCATTGACTCCTGGGCAAAAAGCCAGTGAAGCTTCTTAAATGATGAATTGACCTTGGACTGGATTGCAGCTGTAGCTCGTATGAAGTGTGCTTTTTTTTTAACTAAAAGACAGTTATCCTGTTGCTCACTTAAAGTCCCCATAAAGTTTTTTGGGTGTTAGTATCAATATGTAAAAAGGGGCGGGGCTGCTTGATATGTCCCTCCCTGTCTTCCTGTTTCAGTTAAAATGACGTCAACACATAGAGTAACGGGGACCTTTAAGAATGCATCACAAACACAATCTGTGCAGTATTCTGCAAGTCACCTTGTTAAAGTGATAGTTCACCCCAAAATAAACATTCCAAATCTATGCTGTATATTTTCTTTTCTTTTTTTTATTATAATAATGATGTAGTATTGCAATTGCAATGTAATAAAAATACAAATTAAATTAAATAATATTAATTTATTAAACTATATTAAAATGTTATTTAAATTAAAATTTTTAATAGAACTGATTACATTTACATGATTTAAAAAATTACTGCTTTTATTGTTTTACATAAAATTTTACATAGCAACATTTTTTTTACGGTACTGATAATCTAATCACAATTGGGAATAATGAGAATTACAAAAAAAAGCTCAAAAGTCTGGACACATTACGGTAATACGAATTTTGGGGAAAATGTATTTAATTTAAATGAACAATGCAAAAAAAAAAAAAAACATTGATTTTATGGTAAAGACGGTTTTATGGTTTAGATTTTATTTTTTTACCTACCCAATGTCAGAAAAAAACAAAGCTAAAATTTTAGAGGTGCAACAGTTTGTCTGTTGGCCGGTCTCCTCAAAGGGATATCGTTGTACCTTCTTTACCCCTAAAGGGTGCATATTACTACCTTGGAGTAGTAATATGTACTCGTATGGTAATATTATGAACCCTCTAGGGGTAAACAAGGTACAAAGACGGCCCTTTGAGAGGACTGCCCCACTGACAAGCTGTTGTTCCCCTAAAGGTACCATTTTTACACGTTTAGTTTTTTTTCTGCGAGCGCAGATAAATGCTCTCTGCTGCATGTGTGAGTGTTAGTTCAGGAGGAATATCCTCTGAGCAGCTTTCATTAGTGGTGTGTCTGGAGGCCACAGCAGGTCTGAGTTCAAATAGCCCGTCTGCTCTGATAACTCTCTCCAGCTGCTGGGTAATGGTTAGTTTCCTCCCATTAGAGAGGAAAACCTCTAAACAGCAAATAGCTCATTAAAAAGCTTTATCACTTACCCACTGTTAGAACTGCAAACATCATTCATCACATGGAGCGAAGTGAAGACTTTAAATACTCGTCTGCAGGCACGTGCACAAGAGAACACAGCCACACTGTAATCTACTTTACAGTACCGCTAATGACCAGAGTTATTAAACTTCCCCTGCGCTGGACAATCCTTCACACTGAACACACAACATCTCATATCAACACGATAATGCTAGAATGAAAAAAAACAAAGATGCAGCGAGCTATTCATGATAATACTACAATGGATGGATGGATGGATGGAAAGTCTTGACAGAAAAGTAAACTGTGGTGTTTTGACACCCAGCTGGATATTTATTTATTTTTTACAATGTACAACATATAAAAACATAGCAAAAAGTTCACAGTGTATAAAGGCAGTGATCATGTGTTGGAAAATCATTTTCTTTTTTTTTTTTATTGCATAGAAAACTGTCTGCATTCAGATAATAGAGCATCCATGCAACATCAGTGTACAAAAGCGTCATCAGCAAGCGTCCAGCTCCAGCACACGACCGCGGCCACTTCCAATGCCATATTCAACATCCAACCAGACTGTTTGCATCTTGCATTGGGCTCACTGGAAAGAATTAACATCAAATATTTCATAAAACATATTGTCATTAAACACGTACTGTACACACGATGCCAGATAGAAAAAAACTAAATAGTCATACGTAAGAAAGAAGAGTAAATCTGAGCACTCTTAGGGTTCTGAAGACAAGTTACTGCTTTCATTGTTGTATGTTCACTGTTGAGTTATAATGAGGAAAAAAATACCTGATTCCATCAAAAATAAAAATCAGAATTTGTGTATAAATATATAATGCCAGCTACATATATACACACAAACTTACAAACGTACATCCCTTTAGATTCAATAAAACTCACACCGAGTTATTTCATACTGCCATGTTTCAGTCACAATTCATTTGAAACGATTAATTGATCAAAATGTATATATCTTGTCATTATTTACTCATTTTCATATCATTACTTGTGAAAAAGAGTTTAACAGAATGTGTGAAATTTTGATGCATGGTAAATGAAAACGTGGGCTATTCTGTTTCCATAACTTGTCTTCTTTCAGACTAATGGAAAGAAAACATCCCAAATAAACATTTAAGTGTTTATTTTATTACATTTGATCAACTTATGTCTGTAGATTTCAATTGCAATACATGTCTTTAAAGACAGTTCTCTCCACTTAGACTAAACTTTAGTTTGATTTCCATCTGTATCTTGAAGGTTTTCACACATTTGGTTTAGTTTGTTCATATGTCATTCATCTGATTCATAGAACATTTTATTCCTTAAAATATGGTGAATTTTTTGATAAAGATCTCCAAAATCTCTAATAGGTCAACAAAATGAAACAAGAAATCTAATGTTCAGATTTCTGTTCTTGACGTGTATGCAAATGAGTGCATATTTAATTATATAATGCATCATTTGCATATTTAAACAACATTTCAGAAAGCTTGTAATACACAACAGCTATCTTAATGTACTGTATTAATCAACTGGGGAAATATGGTGATATCTATTAGAATTGTTTTTTTTTACCATATTCATGGTAAACGTGGTGTTTTGCCTTTGGAAAGAAAGTCATAAATGTATGTAATGACATAAGAGTGAGTAAATGATGACAGAACTGTCATATTTGGTGAACTTTCCCTTTAAAAAGTGTCTGACGGACAAATCCACAGCCATATGTGTAACAGTGTGTGGACGGCCATATATCCATGAGCTCAGGTCTTTTATTGGACACTGAAGATAACGGTCTCTTTTATGAGTTCATCCATACATCACTGATGTTAACCAGTCGCATTACCGGTAATCCTGATTCCATGTATCTCACATCTTTGTAGTTCTTGGAGTTCTGGAGCAGAAAAAGAAGTAAACAAGGATCAAATAAGGGAAACAGATGTTTGGGCTTACTGTGAGACGTCACAGCTGTCTGGAAGGCTTCATGCTTAATCGACTCAAAGCGAGTTCTGCATTGCAGTTTTTCGATTATGACGCCAGCACATAAAGTAGTACGTCACAATTCAGTTTCGAGCTTGATCCCAGAATTCCTCTTGCTCCTTTGCATTGTAAGAAGTGTGCATGCTTTGTGAGTGTCAGTTTGTAGTTAATACGACGCATGTGATCAGCTGAACCCGTGACTTCCAGTTCGAGATGCCATTTAGGAAAGGAAATGCTACAAGGAAACTACATGGGCCCATCTTATCCGAACATCACTCCTTTGCATTTTCCTGCATCTTTTGAGATGCAGATTATGCGCTCAGCCAATGCATCTGCATGGAGGGATGAGGGAGTGGAACCGTGGTCACACAGCCCTAAGAAAGCATGAGATGTGTGTCCGTGCATCAGCTGTGCATGTAGCTGCAGGGTGAATCCATGGAAGGGAAGTCATATTTGCCCAGAGGAGACGGGTAATATGTGGTGGCGTAGACGTTGGTCTGCGGTAACGCTGATGGGAAGAAGTTGCAGCTTTCGTCTGGTGGAAGCAGGTTGTTCTTATTCAGAGTCTGCGGGGAACAGAGAGAAAGCACAAAAAGTGAGCACACGAGATGTCGAAAGTCTCTTCAATATTTCAAAGGCCACAGCGTGTTTTGCATCATGCTGCAGCGGCCCTGTGATGTCAACGCTCTGAGGGAAGAGAGGGAACCGAAAAATGAGGAATGATAGAATAAGACGGATTGAAGGAACGAGAGCCGTTTCCTTTGAGACAGATTAGAAAGAGTTGTGATTCTCAACTGCTTCAGACCTTGATTTCACAAAAGATGTCAAGAGATCCCAACACAAGACAAGAATTATTTAGTGAACAAAAGTAAAAAATAATAATAACAATTATTATTAAATAAATAATTATATACTATATATTTATTAAAAAAATACATAATATTTAATATTATATATTTAATAATTATTATTATTATTTAATTATTATCTTACAATATAATATAATTAACATAATATAATAATTATTTTAAAAAATAACAAATATAATGTTTTTAAAATCAAACA